CAGCGTAACCATCAGGAAGGGCAGCAATAATATTCATTCAGATACGGACAGAATCATGCAGGTGGTGGCTTTTGGGTTCAAGGAAAGGCAGCCAGCCTCGAAGACCAAGGAGATCTTGGAAACGGCATTGAAGGTTCTCTTGGGTGATGTGCACACGGCAACCGTGATCCAGAGCATCCACGATAATATCGAGTTCTGCAAGGCCGTGCGCGCGTGCACGGACAAGAGCAAGCTGGGGTATTGGTTTTCCCACAACAACCTGACGATTGAAGACAAGGAGAAGGAAAAGAGGTTGGGGTACACCAAGCACCACATCATCAACGACGGTGGGGAGGACGACGGCGACGTGACGATCTTATGGAGGAGAGACATGGTCACATTCAGAGGGAAGAAGCGAAGATCGACGAGAGCATGAACAAGAGGAAAGCGAAAGTCGACCCAGAGCCTGTCACACATAGCGATTGACGGTCCGAAGGCCGTTGCCGCAGGCAGGATGTGCATGATCACCAGCACGGCTTTGTACACAACGAATTCATCGCAATTTCTTACATCATACACTTTTCCATGCATGTCGACGTAAGATATGGAGCTGTTATGATAGAGCTGGGGGACATGCAGTGGGATATGTGTGTCTTTGCGGAGACATGGAGGGAGGATGTTCGAGATATCTTCACCGCGACGCATGGCCATACTTGGTTCGGCAACGGTGGGCCGAAGGGCTCCAACAGCATCGGCTTCCTGCTCAACCGGCGCTGGTTCCACAAGGCATTCGCAGCAATTTCTGACAGGGTTGCAGCAGTCACGATCGAATCGGAAGGCGCAGACATCAACATCGTAGGCGTGAACATACCGCATCAGAAGTATCCAGATGAGCATGTTGAGGCTGTGGAGTGTTGTGTGTTCCAACTTGAAAGGCCCTGTTCTGCACGCTGGGGACTTCGATGCGGAGGTTGGCCCGCAGACGCTGGCATGTTTTGATGATGAAGGTAGTGCGCTTTGGGTGCAAGCCCGATGGGCGAACGAAATGGATGGGGCAAGTGGCTGTCGCATTGGTGTCTAGAGTCGAAAGTTCTCTTGGCCAACACCTTCGCGACGGGGGGTGTTGATTCTCTCTGGGCACGCACTGACGGGAGAAAGAACAACCAGCTGGACTGCATCATCGTGACGGACTGGCTCAGGAATAGCGTGAAGAAGTGCGCTGCGTTATCCAAGTTTGACTCTGGGTCTGACCATCGAGCTTTGTACTTGCGTGTGTCTCTCGCCTCCTGTCCAAGAGGAGAGCAGCGGCGTCGACCCTAGCCGTGGAGCCTGGCCGTCGACAGATACAAGTTTTCGGCACATCTGAAAGATACATTTGGTGTTTCTTTCGACGCCTGTGATAACTTGACAGATCGAGCCAGCAGCCTGGAGGTGGCCATGGTTTTGCCGCGCGGGCCGCTTTGCGCGCCGCTTCGCCCGCGAATGCCCCGAGGAACGGGCCGGCGCCGCCGCCGAGAAACTGGTCCAAGAGAGATGCCGCATGCGCTCCGAAGATGACCTCTCCTTGGCGCAGAAAAGAGCTGAACGAGAAAGGCTAAGCAAGAGTATTAAAAAAAAGCCGTGCGCAGGGGAGTGCGGACGCGCAGGACAGATAAAATGAATCGCACAATTACAGATTTTCGGGGGTCGCACGAACTGACTCTAGCTGGTTCTGTGAAAAAGAAAAATGCCATAGCACAAGCAAGAGGCAACGATGGCGTAATCCGCGACAGAGTCGATGAGGCCCCGGGAGTTTTCGCAACATGTCACGAGGATTTAAATGGCAGCCAATGTGTGCCCTCGCGCCCACAAGGCACTTCGAGCAGCGAGATCCCCCCGCTCTCTGCCGAGGAGCTTGCGGCAGCCCTGCGGGCGCTGAAGCCCGGGAAGTGCAGGGGCTCGGCGAGCGCATGGTGGCCGAGATGCTCAAGCATGGCGGATCTTCGCCACATCATCGCGTGCTGGAGTCGTTTAACGATGTTCGGAGGCCCGACGGAGAGCCCCCGGAAACTTGGCGGCAAACCGAACTTATACTAATTTTTCAAGAGGGGGGATCCCGATGTTCCGCATAATTGCAGACCCATTGCCATACGGTCAATGCTGTACAAGCTCTTTGCGCGCATGCTCTGTAACGGGTTGGAAGTGGCTATCTTCCAGCAGCAACCTGTTGACCGAGCAGCGTACCGATGTGGGTTTTCCACTGGGGGCCACCATGTTGCAATGACGTTGTTGGTGACAAAATGCTCGGATTGGAGCCGAGAGCTTTGGCTGGGCTGGGTCGATTGTGAGGAGGCGTTCGTCGCTGTCGAGCACGAGCCGCTCTGGCAGGTCTTGCGCGACTTCGGCATTGCCGCGCCGTATATTGACCTCTTGAGGAAACTCTACATTAATGAGACAGCGACGGTGGTCGCGGGGATCGAATTACGCCCTTCCTTTTTGAAGACAGGCGCGAAACAGGGAGTCCCGATCAGCGCGCCCCCTTTAATCGCCGTTCTAGAGAGGTGCTTCCAGGCGATCAAACGCAAATGGAGCGCCCTCAACAAGATGCGTTCGGGCCATTCCTTTGGGTTCGGCATCGGCAAGGGCGATAACCAGTTGACCAACTTGAGATTTGCGGACGATGTCTTGCTATTCGCGCAGCCCCGGAGCGTCGCGACATAGATGCTATGCCGCTTGCAGCGCGATGCGTCTCTGCGCGGCGTGAGCATGCATCTGAACAAGACGGAAATCCTCGCGAACAGGGGGGTCGAGGTCGGTGCTGCGGCGCTCGTCAGTGTCGATGTATACAATATCCTTCAACCAGTGTGCTCTGGCAAATATCTGGGGGGAGTTTTGACTTTGGGAGATTGCCGCAGCGCCGAGCTGCCCTGCCGGCTGGCTTCGGCGTAGAGAGCATTTGTTAAGTGCGAGCACATTATATGCAGCAAGCAGTTCGCATTCGTGTTTCGTTATCGGCTCTTCGGATCAGTGGTCGCGCCCGCGGCGCTGCGCGGCTCGTCCGCATGGGCCGCGCGGGAAGACGCCAAGGAAGCGGTGCGCAGTGCTTGGGGGAAAATGTTGCGAAAGATTTAGGTGCCGCGGCGACCGGAGGAATCATGTATTGCAGATGCCAAGCGGTCCACGAGACTCCGTGAAAAACGCGTCGCGTTGCTGGGCGGGCAGGGGTGTGTGAGGGCCTAGTCAAAGAGGGAGGGCAAGTCCACCGAGCAATCAACTGGTCACTGAGACTCTTGGGCTGGAAGCCGCGGCGCCGGGCAGTGGCGCGCAGGTGCGCCGGGCGCCCAGTCAGTAGATGGGGCGACCCGTGATGCGCACCTTACCCGCCTTTGGTCTGGCTGGGCCGACTCTCCCCTCCCCCCCTCTCCTGCTTCTCCTGTCGCTTCGGTGGGGGTGGCTGCTGGACCGTAGTGTCGGGAATCCTGCGCCCCCACCTTCTCTTTGCTTGCCGTCCTTCCCCCTCATTGTCATGTGTCTCCTGTCGCTACGTTTCGAGCCCCGCTAATGGGGGGGCGGTGCCCCGTCGCGGCTTGGCCGTGGCTGGGTAACCTCCGCCCCGATTGTGAGGCTCGGCCTCTGCGGGTGGCTGCTGGACGGTAGTATTGGGAACCCCGCGCCCCCACCTCTGCCTTGCTGGCCTGCCCGCGCGTTGCGTTCTCCTCCCCCCCCTCCCTCCTTGCCGGACGTTTCTGCCATGCCGCATGATGTTCCACTGTTTGATCGAGTCACTGTCCCATGGATTTCTGGCCTTTCCGTGCGCTTCGCGCACTATGCAGACGTCCCGCTGGGCGGATGTTTGGCCGCCTCTCCTTTTCATGCGCGCCGCCAACAAGCCGAGGGCGGAGGAGGAGGAGGAGGAGGAAGAGGAGGAGGAGGAGGAGGAGGAGGAGGAGGAGGAGGAAAAGGAGGGGGAGGAGGAGGAGGAGGAATCGGGGTCGGAATCGGAACGTATGCAGTGTGTCCATAACTGTTCCTCCCCCCCTGAGCCAGTGATCCTCGTCGTCTGGATTCTGGGGCCTGACTCGGGCCTCTTCGGCGGCGCGCCGAAGGGGGGAAGTCAGAGGGGTCAGGCCTTCTCAGAGGGCGGCGGGGCTCCTCGGAAGCCCCCCGGCCTTCTGAGAAGCCGCCTGTGTCTTCGGCGAGGGTCCAGAAAGCTTCTCGGAGGGCCGGAGGCCTTCTGAGCCGGAACGCTCTCGATGAGGGCAGGCTGCTGGAAGCCACCCCGGGCCCCGAACAGTTCCCCAAGCTTCTCCCCCCGAGCCTGCCCCTCGGTCGTTGAAAATAGGTATCTTTGGATTCCCAGATTCCAAACCACTTTAAGCGCCTTCTTACTTCAATGATCTAGTGGCTTCACCTCTTCCGTCCCCCTTAGTGGGCGGACGGAACCCAATCTACTTCCAACGCGTTCCTACTTCATGTTTCTACCTACTTCTTCCGACCGATGGGTACCTTGGGTTTCTTGATAAGCGTTGGGGGTTCCCCCCCCGACGGGGGTCAACCTCGCCTCGTCGTTGCGCCGCGACGTGGGTCGGAGTGCCTTCGGCGCGCGGTGGCTGCCCGCGACGGGGGTCGATGTGGGGCTGTCGGCGGGGGGGACGCCCCCCCGACGCTTATTAAGAAACTTGGAGTATCCTATCCCCCCAAGACGACCCGAAAGGCCTCCGATCGGCATCGTTTAACCAATCCCCATCCCCATCCCCATCCCCATCCCCTTCGAGGCCCCCCCCAAATTACCACCCCAGTTCGGGATACACCCCTCGAAACCCGAAGGGATCGACCTATATCCCCATCCAGGGGGGCAGATCGGCCAGCGGGGCTCAGGCCACGCCGCTGGGGATGGGGACTGGTGGAACGATACTCGCCCGAGATCGCCCCGAGAGGCCCCGAGGGCGCAGCCGTTCTGCCTCGCCGGCCGGGCCGCGCCGGCGCGGGCGCGGTCCGCCGCGGCCGGATGCTGCCGCGGGCGCTCCGCAGTGCCTGGCGCCATGGAGCGGTTGGCCGCGGCGGCCCCTCGGCCCGCGCGGGCGCGGCAGCGCGGCGCACGAGCGCGGGCACTCTGAGGACGACGACGAAGACGACGACGACGACGACGACGACGACGAGGACGACGATGACGACGACTACGGACGACGACAACGACGACGATGACGATGACGACGACGACGACGACGACGACGACGACGACGACGACGACGACGACGACGACGACGAGGACGAGGACGACGACCCACGGCCTACCACCGACCGACGACCAGCGACAGACAAGAGACGATTGGCGAGTGGGGTTGGACGGGGGCTAGGACGGGGACAAATCCTTTCCAGAGCGTTCTGGACAGCTTTCAGGGCGTGCCTGGACCGCTCTGAGACAGCCTCCAGAGACGCGGCGCGCGAGCAGGCTGGGCCTCCAGATGGGGGCCGAGCAGGCGGGGCCGGAGGATCGCGCCGTATCGCCGATGCAGCTCGATCCTCCTCCTCCTTTTTTTCCTCCTCCTCCTCCCTCCTCCTCCTCCTCCTCCCTCCTCCTCCTCCTCCTCCTCCTCCTCCTCCTCCTCCTCCTCCTCCTCCTCCTCCTCCTCCTCCTCCTCCGCGCCGACGTCGCTGATGCACCGCCGACGTCGCCGATGCATCTACGATGTGGCGTGATCCTCCGATCCGAACTGCTCAGAGCCCGTGTGCAGGAGGCCTCCAGAAGAGGTGCCGATGCCGCTGCCGAAGAGGCCGTAAAGAACAATCATGGCGGGAGGTGTGTGGCTACATTCGGCCTGTGGAGTTCCGTGCTATGCCCCCGGGGGTGTCAAAGAACTGCTCGGGACGAAAAGCCAGTGCCAGAGACCTCTGGGGGTCGACGTTCGAAACACGAGGAGGAGGTGCCGATATCGCACCCCTTTGCCTCGTTTTCGCGTTTTTGGGGTCTCCTGGGACGGCCCTCGTCGCCACGGCTGGATGTGCCGCGAAATCCCAGTCAGAGCGCAACCCTGGAGAGGTCGGGGAGGAGCGGTATCTTGTTGGCTTTCGGTAGCAAGCGTGGTAGCCTGGTGTACCCTCTTACTCCCGTCGTTAGCGTCGATTAGCGTCGATCAGCGTCGATTCGTGTCTGGGACTCGATGAGAGCGCCGATTCAGCGTCGGCTGGCGTCGATTAGCGCCGATCTAGCGCCGATTCGCGTCGATTCAGCGTCGACCAGCGTCGCTTCCCAAGAGCTGACAGGACGAGGTATGGGAGGCTCCCACGAGCTGCCACCGAATTGGCTTCCCCAGGCATGGCCGCGGACGAGGGGCGGAAGGCTCGAGGAATAGGAACAAAGAGGTGCAGAGCGGCAGGCTCGTGTCGTGCCGCCGCGGCGGCGGCCCCGCTGCGGGCTCTCGGCCGCTGGGACGGCCTGGCGATCGAAGAGCCGACGAGCGTTCGAGGCTGATCGATGCTTTTTTGTTACCAGCCGCAGGCGAGCGCGCCGACGGCGTGTCAAGGTCCGAGCGGGCCGCGCGAGGTCCTAAATTACCTAGCACGAGGCCGATCGATACGCGCGGTTCCAGAAACCGATGCCGAGGTCGTCACCACACGAGCCTTCCGTGACCATGAGCTTCGGGAGGTCCGCACGGATTTCTGGGGTCGGCGCTGGACACCCCTGGCGGCGCCGCCCCTGGCGCGCTCCGCGCGCCAGGGCAGGGGGATTCAGCGCCGACCCAGGAAATCCCCACGCGGACCTCCCAAAGTCTATGTTTATGTGTGTTGTTCTTATTCTAGGCGAGGGCCATGCTGAAGAGGTCGGGCGCGGGGCCGGGTCGGACGAAATTTTCGGCATCCTTCGGGTCAGGGTCAGCGTCGTAGTGGCCATGAAGGGTTGTCTTCCTGGCGTTTCTGTTGTGCCTGCTCTTATAGGTTTCCTTCGTGCTCTGGCTCGGGGAACCTGAGAAAAGAGGTCGGCACACCTGTCGCGGTGCGTGCGCCACGAAAGCCGCAGGCCAGCCGACCGCTTTTCTTGGACAACCAATCAGCCCTCTCTACGAGGAAAGCGGCCCCGTCGGGGAAGCAGCAGCGCGGGTCCGCGAGGCTGCGGGGGGGGGGGCAGTTTTCGCTCTGCGACTGGTGCCGGACGTCGAGGTGCCCCAAGCCGAGCGCCTGAGCCAGCCTGGCCGTGGCAGGGCGAGGGCCGTGGAAACGAGTGTGCGCAACATCTGCTGCGTGCAGCTGCTTCCCGCTCCTCCGCCGGGCGCCTTCCTCGATGCAGCGGGCGCCTCCCAGCGCCGCCTCCGGCGCCGGGAAGACCCGCTGCGTAGAGAGCGGCTCTCTCTCTCGGGAAGGTCCTCGGTCCTGGTTAGAGAGCGTGCTCTCTCGGGGAGGTCCATGGGGAGGAGGAGGGAGGAGGAGAGAGGAGGAGGGAGGGAGGTCCATGGGGAGGAGGAGGGAGGAGGAGAGAGGAGGAGGGAGGGAGGGAGGAGGGAGGAGGGAGGGAGGGAGGAGGGAGGGGAGGGAGGGAGGGAGGGAGGGGGGAGGGAGGGAGGGAGGGAGGGAGGAGGGAGGGAGGGAGGGAGGGATGGAGGGAGGGAGGGAGGGAGGGAGGGAGGAGGGGAGGAGGAGAGGAGGAGGAGGAGGAGGAGGAGGAGGAGGAGGAGGGAGGTGATGACCAGGGGGGGTGGATCTCATGGCGTGGGTCATGATATTTCCCTCGATTTTATGGCGCCTCTTCTTATTCCCTTATGTCCCTGGCCCCTCCCCCTGGGTCGCGCACGTTCCGCCGGCCACGATCTGCGCCCCCTCTCTTGGCCGCCCCCGATCCTAGGTCCTGGATCGGGTACGAGTAGATCGGGTTGGAGGACCATCACATCGCCGATGTATCGCCGATGCATCAGCGATGCATCCGCGACGTCGGCGCAGAGAGAATCGGACTCCACCCCGAGCCGCATCGCCGATGCACCAGTGATGCGGTGCAGTGCGCCGGGGCCCCCGTCTGCTCCGCCCCCGCCCGGGAGCCCCAGCTTGCCGGGCCCCCTCGCGAAGGGCAGAGGAGCTCCGCGCGAGCGGGAAGATGCCGCAGGAGGTCTTCGACCGCATCCGCCAGGCCGCCCTCACGGCGGCGCCGGAGCTCGCGGCGGAGGGCGCGGAGCAGGAGTGGCGCCCGCTGCGCGCAGGAGTAACTAAAGGTTCGCCTGAGGGGCCGGGGCCCACGGGGCTCCCGCCAGCACTGGCCAGCGCGCCTGGGTTGCTCGGATCTGGCCTCCCCCCTCGGCCCCCACAAGGCCGCGCACCAGAGGTCACTCTTGCCTTGGGTCACTGTGTGTGTGTGTGTGTGTGTGTGTGTGTGTGTGTCAGGGCTCGAGCTAAGCGGTGTTTTGGCGATTTCGTGGTTTGTTTTTGTTTTGATTTCGTTTCGCTTCCAAGGCAGAGCGAAGACGACGAAGGATAACGAAATCAAAACGAAAACGAGCAACACTGAGTAGTTCCCCAGCTTGCGCAGCTGCCCTTGCACCTCGCCGCGCCGTGCGAGCATATAGATCGGCGGCGCGCGCCAAGGGGGGAAGCTCGACGTCTCCTGGTGTCATCGCTGGCTCCTGGAGGTTCTCCAGCCTCGGGGTGCTCTCCAGCAGCTGCGCCTCGCCGAGGAAGGGGCTTGAAGTGTTTTGGAATCTGGGAATCCAAAGATACCCACTTTCAATGACCGAGGGGCAGGCTCGGGGGGAGAAGTTCGGGGCCCGGGGTGGCTTCCAGCAGCCCGCCCTCATCGAGAGCGCTCCGGGGGTGCCCGGATCGTCCCGAATGGCCGCCGGAGCTAGGACCCGAACGCCAGACTCGGCGGCGCGCCCGGGGGGGGAAGGCCGAGCGGGCGGGCCTCTTCTCGGAAGGCTCAGAAGGCCTCTGGCCCTCCGAGAAGCTCTCTGAAACCTCGCCGAAGACACAGGCGGCTTCTCCGAAGGCCGGGGAACCTCCGAGGAGCCCCGCCGCCCTCTGAGAAGGCCTGACCCCTCTCACTTCCCCCCTTCGGCGCGCCGCCGAAGAGGCCCGAGTCAGGCCCCGAAAGAGAACACGACGGGAGGTCTTGACAATCCAGCTGCCTGCGACAAGTCCCGCAATCGTGCCAGCCTAGCATTCAGGGTGGCGACCGTTCGGGGGGGCACGGGAGGCCGTAACGTGTGACACCTCGTGTGCCCAGGCTTGGGAGAGCCGCAGCATGTGACAGGCTCATCCGCGTCCTGTCGGTGGGGCAGTCTTGGGCCGTCTTAGGGCCCTCTTGGCCGTCGAGGGGGTCTCTCGGGGCCGCCGTGGGGTCGCCTTGGGGCCGTCTGGGGCCGTCGAGGGGCCCTCTGAGGTGCCGCCTTGGGTGCCTCCAGGGGCCCTCTTGGGCCAGCTCGGGGCGAGTTTGGGACTCTCGTGGGGCCTTCCTGGGCCATCAAGGGGCCATCTTGGGATGTGTTGAGGCCGTCCTGGAGGAATATCCAGTTGCCTCTGGCGATTCCGCCACCGTGCCAGCACAGCGCTCTGGGTGGCAACAGTTCGAGAAGTCACGGGGGCCTGCTGGGGTCCTCTTGGGGCAGGCGGCTCGAATTCTTGGTTCGTGTTCCCACTCTTGGGCCATTCTTGGGGCCCTCTTGGGCAGTCTTGGGCGCCTTTTGGGTCGGGTCGTCTTGGAGCCCTTGTGGGCCGTCTTGAAACTCTCTTGGGGGCTTCTTGAGCCGTCTCGGGGGAGTCACGGGGGCCTCGTAGGCCGCCTTGGAGCGTCGGAGGCTCGAACAGGCGAGAACCCAAAGAACATTGGAACAGCTATGGGAAATCCATGTTTTTTCTTTTCGGGGTCCTCTTGGGAGCCTCTTTGGGGCCCCTTCTGGCCCTCTTGGGGCCTCTTTTGGCCCTCTTGGAGCGGACGGCTCGACTTGTCGGTTCGCGTTCACCCTCTTGGGTCCTTCTTGGGGCCGTCTTGGGGCCCTCCTGGGAGTTCTTGGGCGCTCTTGGGCTGTCTTGGAGCCCTCTTGGGCCGTCTTGGGGCCTTCTTGGGGGTCTCCTGGGCCGTCCTGGGGCAGTCCTGGTGGCCTCTTCCGTTGTCTCGGGACGTCGGAAGCTTGAAAAGGCGAGAACCCGAAGACATTGAAACACCTACGGCAGATCAATGATCTATGCCTCTTAAGGCCCTCTTGGGACGGCTCTTGGAGCTCTCTTGGGACGCCTCGACGGCCTCCTGGGCCGTCTTGAGGCCATCTTGGGATGTCTTGTGCCGTCTTGGTGCCAACGTGGCCCGTCTTGGAGCTTCTTCGGGGCCTCTTGACGCTTTCTTGACCATCTGTACAGCCCGCGTGGCCTGTCGTGGGCAATTTGGAGGCGGCCCGGGGCAGTCCCGGGGGGTCGATATTGGGTTGTCTGGGAGGCATCTGGACCCCAGGAGCGCGAACTAGTCGTATTTTGCGAGGGCTTTGGGGTGCATGCGCCCGGGCGCTGAGGTGGCCCCCAGAAAATTATATAAAAACCCTCGTCAAACAGCACTCGGTACTCTAGCACGCCCCAGCGTGCCAGGGGGCACGGTGGGTGGATTTGGGCCATGCTCGGGCCATCTTGAGGCCATCCCGGAGGCCTCGAAGGCCGTCTGAAGCTGACGGAAGCCCGAGAAAGCGAAGGCGCCCACATCTTTCGAACACCAACAGACACTGTTCATGGTTTATATCTTCTGGGAACTCTCTTGTGGTCTTCTTAGGTCGTCTTGGGTGCCTCTAAGACTGTCTTGAGGGCATCTTGCGCCGTCTTGCGGCCTTCTTGGGCCGTATGGGAGGCATCTCGGGCCATGTTGGCGGCATTGGTTGCCTGCCTCGGCCGTCTTGAATCTCGGGATCGCGGATCATTTTTCTGTTCCCCCCCCCCCACAGGAGATCGTGGCGCCGTTGGGTAGTTCGTGTTCGGCTTGGGGGTGAAGGCTTCGGGTACGTGCCGTCTCCCGCGCCACACGCCAGAGTCTGAGACAGGCAGAGCCCGCGCAAACACGATCGAGATGGTCATAGCTCTACTGGCAGGCGATCGCAAACATGGATCAAGGGGGCGTGGATTAGCGACTGGTCCCCTTTCCATAGGAAAGCGCGGATTTCTGCCGCCAAACGAGGCGGCACTGGCCGCGTTTTGGGGCGCCAGATCCATGGATCGCTAATCCATGTTTGCGCGCCCCCGACACTAGATGGAAACATCCTCCACTTTTTAGGCCACTGCGCCGAGAGTGCGGGGGGAGGGCGACTCGCCCGTGTGCTTAGAGGGATGCTCGTGTCGTCAGAGGATGTCTTCCCTTCCTCAGACTCGTGACGCCCCATCCCCGCTCTGATACAACGGGATGTGGAAATCGACAGGCCACTTTCGATTCGATTCGATCTGCCTTGGATTCCCACGCGTCGACTGGTCCTTGTTCGCTTCACCCCCGATCCGCGACATCCGACCCCAATATCCGAGGCGGTGCTGCCGATTCGGGCCGATGCTGTGCTCGGTGATCCTTCTCCCCAGGACCCCAGGCCTGCTCTGATCAGACTTGCAGAGGCTGGTGACGCTGACGGCGTGCGTCAGGAGCTCGCGGGTCCGCTGGTGGATCCAGACGTTGCCGACGCGAGCGGCACCACGGCCTTGCTGGTTGCGGTGAGGCAGGGGCACGAGGACGTTGCCCGCTTGCTCATTCGGAGGGGAGCCGACGTCAACAAGGCGGGCCCCTGGCGTTTCACGCCGCTGATGTACGCCGCTATATGGGGGCACCTGGGCGGCGCCAACAGAACGCCAACACCGATCCCCAGGCCTCTTGGGGCGGTCCTGGGGGCCTCTTGGGCTGTCTTGCAGCGTCGGGAGCTCGAACAGTCGAGGACCACATAATCATCGAAAAGCCCATGGAACATCCAGGATGTTGGCCTCCTGGGGCCTCCTGGGGAAGGCTCTTGGGGTTCTCTTGGGGCATCTCGGAGGCCTCCTGGGCCGTCTTGGGGTTATTCGCGGCGTGACCGCGGGGTTTCCTTGGGGCATCTTGGAGGCCTCCTGGGCCGTCTCGGGGTTCTTTGCGGCGTGACACGCGGGTGCGCGAGGATGATCGCGCTTTGCGCTTTGCGCGCCGCGGCCCGGGCCGGGACGGTGCCCTTCGCCAGGGCGGCGGCGCGAGTGCGCGACGACGGCCGCGCGTCGCGGGCCGCTGCGGAGATCGCGGGGGGCGCAGGCGGGTGGCCCGGAGAGTGCCAGCGCGGATCCTGGCAGAGCCAGCTCCTCCTCGTCCTCCTCCTCCAGTCCTTTTCCTGGTCAATAGAGGCCTCGGAACAAATTAGCGAACACATGCCACATTCATCCGTCAACGCCTCGCCCTCCCCCCAATGTTCAAAGTTGGCGGTGGGTCTGATGAGATGCACTTCGACCGCAGTCTCCCCCGCGCGTGCCAACATTGAGTTTTGGGGGGAGGGTGAGTGTTCAGTAATTGTTTCCTTCTACCGTAGCTTCTCCCTGTCGCACCCCGAGGCAAGTTTTTAGGGCGGGCCTGGCGTTCCCCCTGATACCTCCTCACCACTTATGGCCCTGAAGCGGAACAATTGACAAGAGTTTCACAGATGGAAGGCGGATGGTTTTCAAAATGTGGCTCTCGCCTTAGCGCCGCGCATATTGATTACAACATTTGGAAGAGTTTCACGGATTGAGGGCGCCTGGTTTTCAGCATGTGACTTTCGCTTTAGCGTCGCGCACATTCGCTTTAAACAATTGCAAGGGTTTCGCGGATTGAGGCGGGTCCTTTTCAAAATGTGGCTCACGCCTTAGCGCCGCGCGCATGTTTTAAACATTTGCAAGAGTTGCACGGATTGAAGGCGAATATGCGGCTCGCGCCTTATCGCCGCGCACATTCGTTTTACAACTTTTTTCAAGAGCTTGACGGATTGAGGGCGCGTCCTTTTCGAAATGTGGCTCCCTCGCCGCGCACATCCGTTTCTACAATTTACACGATTTTCACGGATTCCCATGATCAGCGTGCCAGAAGTTGCACCTTGGAAAGATTCAGGACCATGCGGGTGCAGCAGTTACGCTGATTCGAGGTGTCGAAGTCCCAAGAATGACCTTCTGGCACGATTCAGGCTCGTCAAAAAGCAATCTTCAGGTTGATCCGTGGCGTTGGAACCCCGAGAACAATGCTTTGGCATGTTCCAGGATCTTCAATCTGTTGTCTCCCGACGAGGCAGTTCCCTCAGTGGAGATGAACGGTTGTAGGGGCCTATGAAGAGGGAGCTTGGAAGTAGGGTTCATTCCAACATCGTTGATGACTCTTGGGATTCCTTGGTTCTCCTCCTCCTCCTCCTCCCTCCTCCCTCCTCCCTCCTCCCTACTCCCTACTCCCTCCTCCCTCCTCCCTCCTCCCTCCTCCCTCCTCTCTCCTCCCCCCTCCCTCCTCCCTCCTCCCTCCTTCCTCCTTCCTCCTCCCTGCTCCCTGCTCCCTGCTCCCTTCTCCATGCTTATCCCCCTCCTGCCCTCCTCCTCCTCCTCCTTCGCTCCTCCTCCTCCTCCTCCTTGTCCTCCTCCCCTCCTCGTCCTCGTTACCTGCGGTCCATCGGGCCTCCTTCCTCCTCCTCCTGTGCCGTTCTCTCCTCCTCCTCCTCCTCCTCTTCCTCCATCCTCCTCCTGCCTCTCCTCCCGATGCTCTCACCCTACCTTCCTTATATCACCGGTTCCGTCCCTCTGTCCCTCCTCCCTCCGTCCTGCCTCGCTCTTCCCTCCTCTCGTTCCTCTCTCCTTCCTCCTCCCTGCTTCTCCCGTCCTCCGCTCCTCCTACCTCCCTGCTCATCCTTCTCGTCTCGTCCTCGTCCTTCCTCACTTCCTCCCTCCTCCTCCTCCTCCTCCTCCTCCTTGTCCTCGTTTCTCGGTCCTCTTCCTCCTCCTCCGTCCTTCTCCTCTCCTCTCCTCCCTCTTTCCCTCCTCCATCTTTCTCCTCCTGCCTCCTTCTCCCCGTCTTTCCTCCGTCCTCGCACCTGCCTTTCTCCTCGTTCCCTCGTCCTCCTCCTCCTCCTCCTCTCCTCCTCCCTATCCTCCTCCTCCTCCTTCTCCTCCTCCCCAAGCGCTCCCTCCTCCTCACTCGACCTTCCTCCTCCTCCTCCTCCTCCTCCTCCTCCTCCTCCTCCTCCTCCTCCTCCTCCCCGCTCCCTACCTCCTCCGTCTCCTCGTCCTCGTCCTCTTTCTCCTCCTCCTCCTCCTCCTCCTCCTCCTCCTCCTCCTCCTCCTCCCCCTCCTGCCCCTGGGATCGAGGATCTGTGCACGGGCCTCCCTCCCCACGCCAGGAGTGCGCATTGAACCAACCGCGTGCCCAGGATTCGGACGGGGCCAGGACGAGAATAAGTTCGTTTCAGAGCGTTCTGGAACGCTCTGAAAAGGCCGCGGCACCCAAGACATCTTCCAGAGCCGCGGGATCTCAGAGATTTTCGACTTATGCACGCGCGATTCTATCCTCGTCCTGGCTTCGTCTTAAGTATGGGGAGGCCGAGGGTAATTCTAAACCACGTGGTCGGTATGTTGTTCTCACCCTGCGATTGATGCCGCAGAGGTGAGCGAGAAATCAGATGCCACGCTGTGCTCTACGGATGCCGCGCCGTGCTCTGCACGTGTCACGCCGTGCCCACAGCTGCCACGCTGCGCTCTGCAGGTGCCGCGCTGGGCATCTGATCACTCGCACGCTGAAGCGGCATCACTCGCACGGTACGGACCTGCTCTCGGAGCGGCCGGCGAGGACCGATGCTGGCGTGCATTTGGCCGGCGCCCCTCCTCCCAGGCATGCTGGCCTGGCGGGGCACCTGCTGCAGAGCGGCGCCGACCCGCGCGCGCGGGACGTGCGGGGGGACACGGCGCTGGATCACGCGGTGGCCAGGATCAACGTTAGTCGAGGCCTCCTAGATGGGATCGGAGAAGATGGGACTGGAGGATCGCGCCGCCTCACCAATGCATCGCCGATGCGGCTCGACGTTGAGCCCGATCTGCTTCACGTCGACCTTGCCAGCACATCGCCGACGTCGCCGATGCATCGTCGATGCAGCGCCGATGCATCGCCGATGTATCGGCGATGCGGCGCGATACTCCGACCCCATCTGCCCGACCCCACCTAGGAGGCCTCCAGATAAGTAGGGCGGGTAAGCTCAGGGGGGAATGCATCGACCCCTCAACATCCTTAATCGCTCATGGACCCTCGCCGACAGAGGCCCGATGGCCCAACCGCGCGGAGGTCAGGGTCAACGTCAGAGGGGGATAGGCTCAGGGGGGAACGCATCGACCCTGCTCGCCCGCTCCCACGGATCTCCGATGGGGGCCTGATACCGTGGATGTAAAAAATTAACGCGAAACCCATCCGTAACATTGAATTCCGCCATTCAAAGATATGGAACGCAACCTAGGCATGAACGGCCCCAGGTTGAAAAAAGTGTTTCCGTGTTTCGCGTTTATTGTTTACATTTTCGCGGGCAGCTGCCGACCTTGCCCTACCTGGAACTCGCGGCCTTTGAATGGCGAAATCCAATGTTATGAATAATTTTCGCGTTTATTGTTTACATCCACGGTAGCCCTTCAACAAGGGCATGCCGCCCCTTCACTATGACACACTGTGAACACTACTCTCTCTCTCCCCCTGTCTCTATTTGGAAGATTTTCAGCACTCTCCGCGTAGCGTTCGCACACGCAGGATTTCAAGGCCTGATTGCTTTTTGGATGTTCTTTTCTCACGATCCAATTGTTTTCGCTGTTTCAAAATGGTGCTCCCGCGGCAGCGCGGGCCTCACTATCGGATCGGCGCTTTGCTCTCGTCGTTCAGGATGGCGCTCTCGCCCCAGCGCGGGCCACTTTTCTGGATCCGAGTCCTTTCTCATCGTTGTCGCCCCCTCCGTCTTCCCCTGGTTCTCCTGCTCCTCCCGCTGCTTCCACTCCAGCTCCTGCTGCTGCTGTTCGTCGTCCTCCTCCTCTTTCTTGCTCCTCGTCCTTTCCTCCTGCTGATCCTCCCGCTCATCCGCCACCTCCTCCTCCTCCAGTGCACGCAGCTCCCTTCTTGCACGATTGCGCATCACGCGATCTAGCGCAATGGGGAGGGATGGGTGGGAGGGGTCGGATGTCGGATCAGGTTGGCCCGGTCGAGCGAGTCAGAGGGCCCCGCCTACTCCCACCCGCCCTCCCACAACGTCAGCATTCGGTGGGGCACAACTCTACTCTGAGAGTGGAACGCGCGCCCACCTCGCAACTGGAAGGAGCTCGCGCGCGGTCTCGCTTTCAGCAACTTGGCGAAATAAAAACATACGCGGGCCGCGTACGGGCGGGAGGGGCAAGACTTCCGATGGGCGCGGCGAAGACGAAGCATGCGCAGCGCTGACACCGCATTGCCAACGGCACTCACAGGCTGCGCGGCGTTTGGGCGATGTCGGCATTTCGCCCGCTGTCGCGCGGCCCCGCTGCCGCCGTCGCTTTCATGCGCTTCGGCAAGCGAGCCATGCGTCGCGCCCGCGCTGGAACGCTCCATCCGAGCCCAATGCGCACGGTGCTTGGGCGAGGGCGACAAGTCGCCGACGCGCGCGGGCCCCGCAAAGTTGGCGAGTGACGAGTGTACGCCGCGTCGAGGCGGGAGCGAGGTCTGCGCCGCTGAAGCGAGAGCGGCACTCTCGTCCGCTCGACGGTCGACGAGCATGCGGGCGAAAAAGGTGCGCCGCGCCCGAGCGGGAGCTCCATTCGATCGAACAAGTGGGGCGGCGCCGAGGCGAGACTGACACTTCGGCCTTTCGTGCGAAATGTGCGCCCCGTCGCGTTCCTGCCACGCATGCTGCAGCTTGGGCGACGTGGCGTCCATGCTGAAGCGAACAGCATCGGCTTCGCATGGCTTTTGCAGCTCGGATCCGGTTTCCATCGGCCGGCTGCGGTGGAGACCAGGGGTATTCTTTATATATATATATACATATATGTATGTATGTATCTCTATATATATATGTATATAGATACATACATAGATGTGTAGACCACTAGGGAGTATGGATATGGCGTGAGCGCACTTAGCTTCGCAGCTGCGGCCGCTTGGTGTGCAGCGCCCCCCGCGCTGTACCCTCGGGAGGTGCGCGCGGCGCAGAGGCTTGGGCGTCCTCGTGGGGATGCCTACTCTGGCGGGAGGGTCGGCACGCCTCTGTCCATCCTCCTGCTGTCTCCCCTGAAGTGGCCAGGCGCCAGTCTGGGACCCGCGCCTCCTCTAGCTTGCTCGCCCGCTCCCCCCTTCCCCCGATCGGTCGGGGGTTTGTGGAAGTTCTCGGGCGTGTTTGGCGGCCTTCGGCGCCTCGGGGAGCTTCCGAGCATCCGCGCCGCGCCGAGAGCATTCCAGGGGCACCCCGATGCGCCCGAGCGGCCGCCAGAGACCCGAGCCATGGCCCGAAGGCTAGGCCATCTGAGCGGGAAAAGCATCGACCCCCGATCGCCCACTGATCCCCGCTGGGGGCCCGATAGGCCACTCCCTGGCCGGGAGCGTGCGGATTTGCTTTCGGGGGCCCGCCGATTGATCGGC